CACTTACAATTGCACTTGTGAAACTTGTCTACTTTTGCCACATGACAAACACAGTAAAGAAGCAAGGCAATCAGTGCTGTAAGGAAAGCAAGTCTAAGATGGGAAAAAATGCAGTTTCTGGATAGAAGATCGGGAAAGAAGAACAGGAAAAGAAAACATTTGTAACTATTAGAAGACAAGCTAGAATCTGAAAATCTCCAAATTCAGGGAAGTTATCAGCGTAGGTGCAACTAATGTTCTTTGTAGACCACTACTAAATCCAACAGCACAAAACAACAGACTTCTCCTGAGGCAGAAGCCTTCACTGCCAGAAACTTTAGACATTAATGAAAAAAACTTTGGTCAGGTTGTTGTACTATAGTTCATTTCACTGCACTCTCAGCAGCTAAAATGAAATCACAGAAATTAGATCAACTAAAAACACTAGTGAGCTATTTCCTTCGCTGCTCACTGAGAGGGCTCTTCCTCACACAACACCCTATTATTGTATCACCTTTTGCCTAATCCTCTGTCAGGCTATTTAAAATTATCAACCCTTTGTTTTGCAACTTCACTTCTTATCCTCTCATCCTCTAATTAGCTTTTCAGCCTTCAATCTTCTGCCCGACAGGGTCAAAATATGCTGCCTCTCAGTTTATACTTGACACATTTATTTTGACCAGTCCCCTACAGCATGCAGCAAGAATACTGTCATACAGTAGCTCCCTGTCAAACAGTGGATTTCTCATAAAACCCAAGAGCTAAACTAAGAGCTACCTTCAGACATATTTTACTTAGCCTTATAAATAGATTTCTTGTTTCCCCCCAATCAAACGCTTATTTTCAGATTTTTCATGGAGAGCCCATTGTGCTTTTCCTAATCTGCACACATTACATCAGGAAATACATGCGAGATATCTGATTTCAGAACTTCTAAAGCTGGCGAGGCCCAGAAACGCAATCCGTACTGAGTAGCTGAAACTGGAAAAGGTCATCTCCATAGCTCACTGCATGGTAAACACGGAGAACATCCAAACTCCAACCACAAACCTTACGCTGATGAGAACTTAAAAACCTCAGAACTTCCCCTACAACATGCAATCTTTTAGTGCAAAAACACCCTCTCCTTCTTACCACTATGAGAAGGAAAATGTATTCGATAGACTTATTGTCTACTGTTCCATAGGAGAAAAAAAAAAAAAAAAAACACAACAAAACATCCATTCTTTGAAGCAAACCATGCTTACTTCCCTGGAAAAAAAAAGTTTTCATTGTTTTTGCACATAGCAAAGAAAATATGAAAAGTAAAGCAGAGAAATGTGAGGAAGTATAAGAGTTTTACTGTCTGCTGAAAGTGACAGGGAAGAGGAACCAGAATACCCTACCAGCTACTACCCTCATCAACTCACAAGCAGAAATGCCAACTGGCAGCTCCTTGTCTGACAGTGACAGCTGGCTCCAGTACCAGAATGCGTCCCTGCTTCTATTAGCAGATGGTAGCAGAAAGTTTAGTTTGGATTAACAAGAAATCGAGAGCAATTCTTCAGAGTCTACATCACACACTGTATGTTGGGAGAACAACAAATTTTAGTGTATACTTTTACCTGAAAAAGGAAAAAGTCATTATTAAGGTATGGAACATTATCAGCAAGAATCCAGGAATCCTGCTATACCACATCCAATTAAACAATTAGAAAGATACAGTATTAATTGCTCTACATACCTGTCGCTAAGTTCTTGCTATTAGAACACAAGACAGATAACTTCCCATCCTTTCCCCAAGACAGTGTAACACTTTACAAGTTTTTTTTTCCAAAAAACATCAGAAAGACCATTGAAAGCATTTCCAAAGGCAGCTCAGACACACACACTGTAAGGGCTGAGGTGGCAAATCTTATGCTGAACAAGATCCGCCAGTATCTATTTGTGAGTTCCAGATACGTCCTCCCTTATCTATGCATTAAATACACTTAATTTACCATAGGAAAAGAAAAAAATGCCAATTCTTCACAATGAAGACTTACTGATCCAGACATTAAACTCAGAGGAAGGCTGCATGAAAAATAACTGAAGTAACTGTAAGATGTAAGGGGCATTGTAAGTATTGTAGAATTTGTAAATTGTTGGTACAGACAAAATTAGTGAAAGTAATAACAGCATCAGAACAATTACTGAGGAAAATCATTGCAAAGAAGCTGAAAAATGACTGCTGATCATCATTACTGCACAAGCCAGACTATCCATGTATAAAAAGACATTCCAAGAGAGGAAAAAAAAGAAAAAAAAAAAATAAGATAATGGCAATAAGCAGCCAGGACAGAAGATTTTGCATCCAAGTATCCTGTGGAAAACAGAGAATGAAGTAACCAAACCATTTAGTAGACTATTAATAAACCCATTCTAATCAATAACTAAGCTCCAAGGATGTTTTTTCTATGATCTCCAGTTTGTAATTCTTAATAATTGTAAGCACAGCCTTCCACAAGTAGAAACACACCATTTTTTACCATAAAACAAAATCAAGAACCAAGAGAACAAAATCCATTTCAACTTCCCTTTAAATGACGAACTCTATAGCACTCCTCAAACTCATTCCACCATTCTGGATGCAACTACACACCCCACTGTTCCAGATGCAGCTACGTCTACATATCAGGCATTACTTCTGCAGAACTATTTATTTCTGTTTCACTACTACCTACCATGGGAGGCAAACCTCAGGCTAAACTTACTGTTTCAGAACTACGCAAGTTCGTTGTCTCCGAAGCTCCCTCCTCTTCAAGTCATTCCCCAACCCTGGGAAGTGGTTATACAACGTCAAGCCGTAACGATCAAACACTCATCACCACACAAAGCCACCAGACACTTCACTAACTCCAGAGTTTGACTGCAATATTCAGTCACACAGTTGCCGGCAGGCGATACTTTTTCTGTTTCACAGTTTCGAGATTTTTCTTCCCCAACATCAGGTTGGACCAAACCTTGTTTTTTAACATTTCCTGCTCAGATTTCCAGCTGAATGTGCAGCTATGCAAACACTGCAGTAACATTCCAATTCATACACTGTTTTATAAACCAGGGTCACTGTTTTTCCCAGTACTTTCACATTACTGGAATTAAGAGAATCTTTTTTACTGAGCAGCCCGATAACATCATAAGGAAACAAACGAAGACTAAGTTGACGAGAGAATTATGCACATTAGAATTTTACCGATTAGCACTGCCAATTCTGAGTTAATTGCATATATACATGCACAATTTTACATGAAATTGTATATTCACAAAACGTTTACATGCAATATAGCTAGCCAAGATGAAAGTAAAAGATATAATGATCATCTCACCTAGTTCTACAACATAATATCTGCCTGCACCCCATTGCCACCACAACTTCAGAGCAGAAAAGCTAACGCACGCTTGCTGCCACACAGGATTCCACTCTCCCCTCAACTTTTTTTTTGCCAGGCCATTTATATCTTCACCACAGAAGTGCCAAGCTTTACCTGCCTGGGTAGCAGTTAGCAACGTATGGGCGAGGAGCCACCTTCACCAAGCACTCCCAAGGTCCATCTGCATGGCAGCCCCAGCACTGACAGTGGATCACGCAGAAAAGCCCTGACCTTATCTTTGAGTTCAGGACCTCGGGTGCCACAAAAGATCAGAGCATTTGCTGAGCTCCTCAGCAGCACGCGTGTTCCCAGGCACCTGCACTGTCACAGCAACCATAGGAGAGGTGGGATTGCTAAGCAACTTCAGTACAGATGAGCTTAATAGAAAGCTGCTTGAAGAAGCAAAGCTGTTCTCTATACAATCATACCAAAAACTAAAGTTCAGTTCATCTGAATAGCACTATTACTGGAAAGCAGTACACAAAACTTTCATACAGAGCTACACAAAATGCAAAGGTTTACCTACTGCTACTCAGAAAGGTTTTGTAGATGAAAGCAGGACTGGAATCTGACAAGCTGTGGTTAAATATGATTATGGAGTGAAAAAAAAAAAGAAAAAAAAAAAAAAAAAAAAGAAGAGGGCGAGAAAAGTTAACTCTAAAGGCGTCTTTGCAGACTCTACGGAGAGATATCAAAGTCACCGTCCGGAGTAGCAAAAGTCGGCAAACGAACCACGGGGAGGATAAAGCGGTGCGTACAGCGTTAAGCCCATCTGCTACGGCCGGGACAGCGCCGCTCTGACCCCACGAACGCCTCAGCCGTGCCTTATAGCAGCCGCCGAGAGCCCGCGGGACACCGCGCTGCCCACCGCCGCCTCTCCACGCCCAACCACGGGCTTCTATCGCTACCAACACACCGGGAAAGTTTTCTACCCCCCTCCCCGCGCCGCCGGGACACACCTCTCGGCACCGTCCCTCCTCCCACCCACATCCTCACATCAACGTTCCACACAACCACGGCGGGCTGCCCGGGGGACCCGCCGTCACCTCAGCGCCGTCCCCACAGCGCGGCTCTCTCCCTTTTCGGCCCTCTCTCCGGGATCCGCGGGCCGGGAGCTGCGTACCGCGGGGTCGGGGCGGCAGCCTGATGACCCCCCCGGGCCCCGTCGGTGGAACCGTAGGGACGCAGCTCCTCGGCCCGCCGCCGTCCGCGTCGTGTGAGCCCACCTCAGCCCGCCCGCGGCTTACGGGAGGTTGGGGGCGGGGGGGGGGGGGGGAGAGAGGGCGCGCGCGCCGTTAGCGCCAATGGCCCCTCACAGGCGGCGCGCGCGGCCCGCGGGCGGGAAGGGCCCTGAGGGAGGCCGTGAGGGGAAAGGGGGAGGGGGGGGAAACGCACACTCACCGCTGAGGCGCCGCCACGCTGAGCCCCCTTCTCCTCAGTGCCGGGGGGGCGGCTCCGCCCGGGGAACAACGAACGCCAAAAGGCTGCGGAGCGCGGCCTCCTTTTACAGCCGACAGAAATTTAATTAAAAAAAAAAAAAAAAAAAAAGAGAGAGAGAGAGAGAGAGCAAACAGTTTAAAAAAAAAGAAAAAAAAAAAAAAACTTTCCTCGCCGCCGTCTCCCTCCCCCGAGGAGCACGAACCCAAACACACTAAGACACGCCCTCGCGCCGCCCCTCGCGCCGCCCATTGGATTGCGCCCCGACGACCCCCGCGCTGATTGGCTGTCTCGTCTGCTCGTCTCATCTCTCTCCGCCCCTGAATGTTGTCTATTGGGGAGGGCCACATGGATCTCCCCGCCCGTTAGCCATGGACCACGTCCATCAAAGAGAAACACCCGCCTTCCAGCTCCTCTCATTGGACAATCTCGTCAGTACCCCCCTCAATGATTGGCTGTCCCGGCTGACTGTCACGTATTGACGTCGCCTCCCTCACTGGCTGCCGACCCTCCTCCCACTCCTCCCGTTGGCTGAGAGATTGGCCCCGTAAATGAGAAGCCCGCCCCTACTTGCCCCGCCCCCTGCACGCTACGGATTGGCCGGTGGGTTGCGCCCTCGCACGCCATTGGTGAAGGGATGTGCTCGTCACACCGTAACACGCAGAGGCCCGCCCATCGAGCCGCGGCCCTCGGCGGCAGCGCTGGAAACGAGGTGGGAGGGAAGGCTGCACCAGCATGCCTCCTTTCTCTGCCCAATGGAGGAGACGGGCACACGCGGTAATGAGGAGGACCGCGGCCACCGCCGTCTCGTAATGCCAGGCGGCAACAACGCCACATTCCTCCCGTCTGCAACGACATTTGCTTCTTGCCCCGCCCTTCCCACACAGCGATTGGGCGGGGAGGATGTCAGTCGCACTACTCGCCAGTCCATTGGTGCGCGGCGACTCCGCCGCAGCCAACTGACAGCCGCTCAGGCGTGGGCGGGAGGGGGCGTTCTCCTCCCTATGATTGGTTGAGTCAACTGTCAATCCCTGCACTGTCTCTCGGCGGCGGGGGGGAAGGCGGTGACGGGCCGCGTGAGGCGGCGGGGGCGTCACGTGGCTCCTGCATTTGCGCACGTGACGGGGCTGGCGACCGTTGGTGTGGGGGAAGGGTTGTGTGAGGCGCTCCCTAAGAGCGTGGTTGGCGGCACCGCTGTTCCACACGGTGGGCTGAAGGGAAACGGGGGCTGTGGGGTCGAGAAAAGCTGAGGAGGAGACGAGCAAAAACAGAGGAAGGAGTGCTCTGAGGGGATCTGGGGTCATCAACACTCAGACATGGGGGTTGGTGTTGGATGACGTGGTCTCCGTGGGTCCCTTCCAGCTCGGGCTTCTTCTGTGATCACAGAGGCGTTTGAGAGGGAGAGAAAATGGAGGTGTGCACCTCATTTCCACGCTCTTCTTGTTCTCTGGTATTGCTGAGAACTGCTGTTAGCACAGTGGCTGTCACCTCCCGGTCTCACCCAGGCCTGTGTGCCAGTGCCGTGTTTCCCCTTGGTCTCCTCAGGAGAATCCTGTTACAGCACTGCAGCAGCTGAAAATGGAGTTTTGGTGCCAAAAAACAAACGAGATGCAACAATACCGACCTGATCGTGTGGCTACTGAGGGAAAAGCCTTGGAAAAGCCAGTTTTTCGTTGGTTTTTTGGTTTGTTTGTTTGTTTTTCTTGGAGTGTGCAGAAGGAAACAACATACATAGCACATTTTGTATAAGCCTAGGAAACCAGAAACATTCATGTCAGTAGAGCAAGAGGTGCCACGCTGCAATTGCCCCCGTAGTTTCACGCGGTAGAAAGCAAGCAGGTTTTGTTGGATGGATGGTTCAGCAGGTCCCACGCAGATTCACACATGGATTTTGGGGAATCTCAGCTCCTTTGCTAGTTCCCGGCTCTCAAAAAGTCCTAATGTGTAAGAAGAAAATTGTCCTTGCTATCTTTTCACGCTTCTGCCATTTGTGTTTCTGTCCAGAAGTGGGACAGAGTTAGCTAGTGAGACTGCATTTTTTCATCCACTGGATGTCAGTGTTACGCTACTGCTGTGGTGCATTGCCAGGTGCTGGGAGAGCTTTGGCTGCTTTGGGGTGAGGGCTTCAGGAAGAGCTTTCTCCTGTGGTTGGTATGCGATGCTAGGGAAGTGCAGGGGAACAGGTTTGATGGTGTGTGGACATGCTTCTGCCTTTGGGACCATATCACAAGGCTCTTAAAGTATAAAACCTCACAGCGACTGAGCCCGGAGGGAGACACGTGCTTCAGCACTTGGGTCAATTCCACTGTTGCTTCTTACGTTGTGAAAATACATGGCCTCATCTCTTTAAAAATCAAATTTCCTCATTATACCAGGGACAAATAATGCTGCATCTAACAGAGTGGGGATAAAACGCTAGAAGCAGCCTTGAAATCTGAGTTGGAAGTTAGGTTTTCTTAGACCTGACAGTGGTTTATTATTTCCAACAGCGCCATAACCTCCTTTTTTTAGAGGTTTGCTAGCTTTTTTAAATTAGTGTATCTGAATGAACTCTGGTTACGGTCACCAGAAGCTGTTGGCATTGAAAAACAGTTATTGCTAAGCCTGTCCTTTTCCTGCTTCAGATCCTTTAAGCCACAGCTATGTAGTGGGCACAGAAAGTACCTAAGTGGTTATTTGTGCAGCAAGTAGAGACAGGTTGCCTTTTGGGAAGGCACAGCAAAGCGTACGTGATGATCTTTACCAAGCATTATTTCTAGGTGTTTTGGTATGTAATGTGGCATTGCAAATATGATCTAATGCTGTGCTTTATCAACAGCTGAATAGCAGCCAGCATTGGTAAAAAAAGATGGCTGTTGTTAAAATGATGATTTGTGAAAAAGTAATAAAAGAATTTATGTTTCTTGTTACATATGAAGACAGGCTGATTAGGTTATTCTCTTGCTTCTTTCTGTTGGAAGCTGCATTTTGTTCTATCCTTTTCCTAGAAAGTTCCGGTGCAGATTCAGCAGGCACATGGCATCAAAGTATCAAAGGAATAAAACATTAATATTTGGAAATATTGGGGTACTTTAAAAAATACCGATTATCCTTATTTAAAAGTATTTATCCTAATTACTACTTTCAGAAAACACGTTTGTGAAGGATTCAGCATTTCCTGTTCTGTCAGGTGATTGGCAAGATTTCCCAACTATTCTCATGCATCCTTCACATAGATTTCCAGGGAGAAAGCAAGAGACAGAGGAAGTAAGACTTCATGTGCCTGGGAGCTATAAAAATGGAGATAGGAAGAAAAGATTTGTATTTAAAATAGAGAAGACTTCAATTTTTTTCTTTTTCTTTCCTAGGTCTTCTATAACAACAAAGAAAAAGCACAAATGAGCAACTTAAAGAAAAACCAGAGGTAATGAATACGAATTAAATGAAAGCAGGAGAAAATGAGGGAGATATGTCAAATGTAATTTTTGAACTTGTACGCTGGCCAGGTGATTAATGCTAACATTCCTGCTTTGCAAGCCAACCCCCCCCCCAAAAAAAAAAAAAAAATCTTTAAAACCCCTAGCATTCAAGGATCTGAGTTTTAAATCTCAGACATGTCTACATCCGTAACTGTAGTCAACACAATAAGCTTATTTTGACATGACTTATTTTCATGTGCCGTATCCATGAAAGACATGCAGTTGCAATAGTTACAAGAACAGTTTATGAATGTCCTAGGCAAAATGCTTTGCAGAATTTTCAACTTGTGCTGCCATGCTCACATAGTTGTGTTGAAAGGAAAAGGGGAAAAAAGAGAAGTTTGTCAGCCCACAGCTAAAGGGAAAATATTACCAATTTGATGGCAGCTGTTCTTAAACGGAGAACAGTTTATTACAGTATTTTGTTTTGTCTTTTTTTCCTGGAGGCAAAACTAAAACAATGCTTCGTTAACGCTATTTGAAGCTATTTAAATATCGCAATTTTCAGCAAAACAATATTAACATGTGGAGTTTTTTAATAGAAAAAAAAGGCAATTAGGAAAATGTTTTGAATAATATTGTATTCCTCTACCCAGCCTTTTTTCTACCCACTTTTTTTTTTTTTTCTTTTTTTTTTCCTGCTATGCTGGCAGAGGAAGATGTCTGCTTTGTGCTTCCAGTTCTGAAAATGAAGCAGTGTGCACATAAAAGTTATTGGCAGCTGTGCTGAGGCCAGAGGTCGTGCAGCTCTTCAGGCAAGATTTTATTTACCTTTTCACCTCCTCATTTCACCAACTTGGTCAGAGATGACACTCAACAGCAGCAGGAACTTATACACAACAGTTTGAGTCACCTTTAGCTGAACCTAAACAAAACTAAAGTATAGGTATGTGAAAGCAATTACAGCATTTTATTGTCACAGCTCCACCTTCATCATCAGGACAGCGTTAGAATTTTACATTGAGACATAGCGTAACTGCTAAAGGCGCTCTCTCCTTTCACTTTCCAAAGTTTAAGGGTACACTGGAGTTTCCATTGCTTCCAGGGCAGCCACACTTTCACATGCAGCACTCATTCGTGTACTTTTTTATGTCACCCAGCTCCATTGCAATAGAATAATCAGGCTTGGAAAAAGCAGAGGACTGGGACACAAACCTCCCATCCCCTCTATTCCTCAGGAACCGAAATATATATGTGCCCTTGCAAGCAGGGAATGAGGAAGCTGTGCATATCTGGTAATATCACACATGCAGGACTAATGCTGTTGCTGGAAAAGCTCCCACCTGTCTTGTCTATTTCAAACTCCTACTAAGATAACAGGAATATGTAATTTTTTCCTCCCAATTATTACTTCTTTTTTTTTTTTTTCTGGAAGTTGTAGCTGTATAGTAATTTAAGATGGCAGCTTTCCAAGGCTTTGCAGTGATTCTAATTAATTGGGTACATTGTTTAATTTTTATTTTAACTTGGTCTTTTTCCTCTTATTCAAAAGGTCTCTCATTATCCTTTATTATGAAGGAGATCAATGCAAGCAGAATGGCTGCCATTTTGCTTTAATCTGCGGAAGCAACACTGTTGTCTGTGAAAAGGTGCACTGCTGTCCACACCTGTCAGAAGGAGTGAAAGCAGTACTACAGGTGGAGTAGTTAAGCTTCTTTGGTCTGGTGAGCTGGGTGCAGACTGCGAGCAGCAGTGATACTCTGCAAGAAGAATGCGTGATAAGACAGTGAGCAGGGTCTGGCAAACAGGGTGAAGTGTAACTGGAGAATGGGGCAAAAGAGTTCAGACTGAAGGGCAGGAAATCTGGACCTGGAAACATCTGTTTCCTTTGCTGGTGTGGAAAATCATGCCTCCTTCAGGCAGACTGAGGAGGGAGAAGGAGAGAGAACCCACAAAAATTGTCATAATCGGGGAGTTAGAGCTACAGTTGAACTGCTTAAACTCTCCCTCATGTTGGATGGTGGTTACACTATTGCTCCTTTCCCAGGCTTCTTTTTGTCCACAATTTCTCTAAAGTGGTGTTTGAGGGGAAGCATAACATCTGCATTTTTATTTTTAAAAAAGTATGTAACAAGACTGCTTACTGCCACCTGCAGAGGAACTGGAGTCAATTACAGTAGAACCTGAGGACAGAAAGTGAGAATAGTGCAGGAAGAGAGCATAAGAAAGAAAGCTGGAGGAGAAAAACAACTGCAAGACTGCACAACCTTAGGACCAGTAAAAAAAGATTTACAAAGGAGTGCTAAGGAGTGGGAAGCTGCATGGAAGGTTTCTTGTATCCAGGGCTGCACACAGAAGGTCTACTTCATCTCACTTGCGCAGATATATGGGCACATGAGCACACACAGCCTTTTCTAGCTCTCACCTTTCCTGGCCACAGTCTCCTCCTTACCCTTGCATCAGCTACAGGGAGGCCCTAGCAAGGATCCCAAAGAAAGGGCTGCACAGAGAACGGAGGGATGATGACAGTGGTGACAGCAGGAAGAGCTGCACAGGGAAACGGACCAGCAGCAGCCCGTTTCCATGACTTGGCCTCCAGCGGTTTCTGGAAGAGAGAACAGCAAAGCTGGGTGGGCCTGTCTGTTTGTTCTTTAATACTCAAATCTAACTGCTTACAAACCCTGTGACTCACACACTGTCCCAGCCCATCTTCTGCAATGGTTGGCAGCAAAGTTAAATCCAGGTTCTCAAGTACAGCTTTGTGTCACCCCCTTGATGGAAGCCTGCCAGCAGCTTCCCTGTAGCTGAGCTGCTGTTGGGAGCTCGGGGTGGGGCTGCATGTGTAAAGACCACAGGCTGACTCCTGAGAGCAATCACAGGACCTCTTGGTAGCAGATGATCTCTTCAAAACCACCAGTTAATCACACACAAGCAGAAACTGAGGAAGACTTAATTGCTCAGGGGCTAACATACATTTGGCCCACTGGGTTATTTTCTTTTTGCACAGGGAAGGAATGATGATGAGGATGTTCTAGTGGATTTCATCACGAGCTAACAACCATTTGCAAAACAGCATGTTCTCCCCCACACATGTGAAAAAGCAAGCAAAAACCCCAGGACTTTCCTTTTAATCCTGCACTAAGCTCCCAGACAACTAGAAGAAAGTCAAAAGTTTGTTGGGTTTTTCTTTCTTTCTTTCTTTCCCCTGAAGAGAGCGAGATGTTCTGTGGTTGCTGTTGTGGATTCACTAACTGTGCTAAAGAAAGCATGTTCCCTCTCAAGAGCCCTGAGCAACTCAGTTCTACTATTTGTTTCTGCTGCTTGGACTGTACTTGATTGCTGCTGCTGGCTTACTTTCTGTCACTGAGAACCTTGCAGAGCTTAAACCAGCCCTGGCAGCAATTCTTCCTTACAGTCTTGCTTCCACTTTGGTTCTTGCTAACCATAGCACAAAGAGCAATGAAAATACACATTAAAGCTACTCCTAACAAGGTGTTCCAGACCAGGGCTGTGTTCAAGAAGATGTTTGTGTTTATCGAGAGTCCAACTCCCAAATCCTTCTACTGCCACACTTTCTTTTGAAGCAGTATTCAATGCAAAGACCTACAGCATTTTCAAGGGTTTCCTCATGTGAGCAACACTGCTATGCACAAGTGAATTCCCAATTACTTATACCAAGCGCTACTTACATGGGAGACTTTGAAACAAGATGGAGCCTGCCTGAAACAACATCCTCCTTTTGGCTGCAGGGTACAGCATCTGTGGCTGGCGCCTGTGCTTGTCTGTCTCTGTCTTTGTTCTTATGAGTTTGTCTCCTTGGATGCAAAATGGAAGCTGTTGGTTATACTGTGCTGTCAGGATCTCCAGCATTCATCCAGCATAACCCCAGTGGGTGCAGCGAAATTAATCCAGATTTGCTGAAGTATAACTTTGGTTCTGTAAGTTAATTAATATGTTTAAAAGCGGTTTGGAAATTGGTGAGAAACCAGTGGAGACCGCTTTAACTTTTCCTTCCAGAAAAGTTTTGATTTATTGAAATGTTGTAGTCATAAATACCGAACAAAGGAAGTGAATATATTGCAGTGTCTTCATTGTGAAAGGGCAATGGCAGATGCTTGGATAAACCAGGAAACAGGTCTTTATTTCAGCGCAATGCCTGCAAGGATTTCTGTCTTTCATACCTCTCCAAGAAGTTATTTTAACTACCTTTCTATGAGATTTATTAGGCTGTGAAGGAGAATTTCAAACAAATGGTAGAATAACAAAATCCTAGAAAGATAGGCTGGTGAATTGTCTTGCATTGCACTAGGGCAATGACCCAGACGACCTAGCAGCCTTTTCCATTTCTAACATCCATGATTACCACAGTTATACCTCAGGACACTAAACAGAGCCATTTTCTTCCTTTCAGAAGCAGCAAAATGTCACTAATGGCCGTGCTAAATCAGAAGAACTTATGTGTTACACACTTAGCAAGACAGCTAAAAATGATCCCACTTGGTTTATATTTGCTATTTTCCATTTCTGTAGTGCAAGTGCTCCGCTCAAGGGGGCTGCCAGCCAAGGGAAAGAATTTCTGGTAGAAGATTAAGGATAACTAAGGAAATGGTTGCATGACCTATAAAGAGAGGATCATAAATATTGCAACAATAAAACCAATAGCTCTTTCAAAGTTTAAATAGCTTTTCTTTTCAAACACTTGAAGTAAATGCCCTTTTCCCAAGGTTGTATAGCATCTGTGCCTTGGGATTTTACTCAGTTTCACCAAATACATTGTAATTTCTCAGAGAGATAGCTATTCCTTTTAATCATTTTTGTTTGTGGAAGTGTCCTCTTCAGAGAAGCTGGAGCCCATCTACCTCAAAGTGCCTTATTACTTCTCCTGCTACTGAAGTTATAGAAAAGCAAGAGCACAGCAGTAAAACAGCCCCTGCATTTCTTAAGCACCATGGTCACAGACAATGCAAGATGAGGCAAGTATGATTCTGTTCCTCATAAACAAGCAGCACCACTTACACGTTTTTTTACGTTCAAGGGGAAACCTCGGATGCAAGGGTCTGCCTGTGTAAGTATTCAGGTATACAATTCATTTTCTTCACAGTCCCAACTGTGCAAAAAGCCAGACCTGGGCTGCTGTCACTGCATAGTAGAATACAACTGACATTCCTATCCCACACACTCTGTTGGCATGCAACACGTAGCTTTAGTTTTTATGGTATAGGATCCAGCTCTAGAGTAAGCAATCTGTTTTCATGTGCTCATTTTTTTCCCCATACTCCATCTTACATCATTGTGTAGCTAATGCAGGGCATGCTCAAACTGATGTGTACCACCAGCTGTATTGCTATATCAGAGCAATACATGCACGTCTTGCTGAAGCATTCCTATTCCTTTGTCACCTCATGTTGCCATATTTATTTAATTTACGTCTCAGGCCCTGATTTGAGAATACTGTTTTGGATACAGTAAAAAGGCACTACACCTGCCACAGACAGAGGCTAGACAGCCTTGATGTTAGTGCTCAATCCTGTGTATTGGTCAGATTGCAGAAAGCAGTATTCTTTCTGTAACAGCCAGTCCAGATTGGTAAATCAAAAAGCTGAAGAAACACGGTGTTTATTCAGCCCACAGTGTGCATGTGCCAAATCCACCCCCAAACTCATGCAAAATGCTGATCTGGCCACAGTGCACTGGCACAACGTACTTTTTTCACTTGCACAGATGAAATAAAATTCACTATTCAGCAGAAGCTTTTTTTTTTTTTTTTTGCTTTAAAGAAATCAAAAAGGCAAAAGACCCTTGAATACAGACAATACTTAGAAAGTATCCTTGACCTGACTTCCCTGTTGCTTGCCTGTGGTACTATATGCATTTGCATTAAAATCAGCTCTCGTTTTTATATTCTATGTTTCAGCCCTCTGTAATGACTACGTTCCTCGTTATTCATGTTTTAGTTTGGTTCTATGCTCCCATCAGCTTTCCTGCACAAATTCCACACATAACCAGGAAAATACAAGCAACGATTTCACATATCCACTGTCATTAAGTCTTGTCTTTCAGCACACCCTATCACCTGGAAGTTGCCTATCTCAGGTAGAAAGCAAGAGAAGGGCTGTTTCATGCTCACAGTTCTCCTACAAGGTGACATATCTAATATTTTAGAAAAAGAAAACAAAACCTGACAAGGCAGATGAAAAGGCAGGAGCTGGTATCGCAGCTAGACAGACTGAAAATGGAGAGAGAAACAGAGTTAGAAACATCTCAAAAACTTTTGACATTGGCAGATCACGTTATGAATTTAGGATACACCAGCAATTCTGCCCTAGGTTCCTATGCAGATGCTTCTCAGCTATTTTTCCTTACTTTCATGTCGTGTTGAAAAGCATGGCAAATTTGCCCACATTATGAGTGAGACTGGAGAAGCTGAAACACTATATATTAAGGTGTGGTTTTCTACATCCTCACTCCCCAGGTATGCACATTCAGACTTGCAGCAGAAATCAGTTAGTGTTGTGACAAGAGTTAGGTAAACATCTGTCAGTTCTGCTACATGCCACATCCATAGGTTTCTCTCCTGAGAGGGCTCCTACCGTTGTTTGTGCTTTTCATAAGCTTTTCTTGTTTATGAGGATTCCCAAATTTGCAAATTTCCTAACTTTCCCATAAGGATGGGGGACACAAGGTCTAGGTGACACAAAGAGGTCACTAATTCCTGGACTGTTCCCTGATTTTGAAAGAGCATGAACAAAAGTGTCAGGAAACAAGAAAGAAGTAAATAATAAATAGTAATATTAAAGATGAAGTACATTTATCTTAGTTTCTTGGAAAACCTCCCTAAGTTAACTACAGGAAAAGAAAAGACACAAAGTGATGGTATTGTTAATACTGGAGCCTGTGAAATGAACTTGGATTAGGCAGACTCCTCTTAAACGGTAAGGATGCAATTGCTATGTGGACTTTAAACACAGGAAGAAAGAAAAAGATTATGTTTACTATAAATACATTTTCATGTACCATAATGCCCAGAAGTAAAATGGAGACTGGATTTATTCTGAAACATGGTCAGGAGTTTTAAAAAAGGCTTTTGTATACCCAAACAAAGGGAGTGTGGGAAACGAGCTGTGGAGTTACTTAGATGTCAAGGATTGTACTGTACCAGGTAAACCTGAAATGTAGCAGAGGGATTCTGTTTCATAAGTGAAATGTCATTACTGATGGGTACAAATTATATAGGAAAGATGGAAAGGAAAATAGAGGTAGCACTTCGTCATATGCATTTACAGCTGCAGCAAGACATAGTTCAGCTGCAAAGAGAGTGGTAATGAAAAATAACATCAAAGAGAAATTGAAGTGGACATCTGCTACAGCCTGCTCCAATGATGTAGCGCCTCTCTCAAGATAGTCAGAACCAGAGGACACTGTACTTGTGTGGGCAGCTGAATTCCCCACATCTGTTAAGAAACATAGCATTGGCCAAAGATGTTTATGTGTTATGCAGAAACCTACTCTAATCTAGAAAGTACAGGTTCTTCACAAACAAATTAAAAAATCCCAACAATCTAGGAAGTGGAGTTGAGAGGTTAAAAACAACACCAGTGAACAAATTACCTGAACATAACACAAAGAGTTTATTTGTTTCACTTAGAAAAGGTCTTTGGCATAAGTCACTGGACACACGTACATTAAATATACAAGTGCATCCCAAGGGAAACATAGAAGGCACACATTCAGCCATGATGCTCTTTCAGAGCCACTCCCCATTTCTCATTAGAAATAGCGAGCTGCAAGCCCAGTTTCATTACTCTTTTTCCAAAACCAAGACTGGCCAGTATAGGTCCCATGGTAAACCACAAGGATCAGCAAACCTGGGCTGAATGACCAAGAGTGAACAAGATTCAGAGAACAGACAACCTCTTGGGATTGTCCAGGCTCAGAAAACAGACTCCGAAGAGAGCTGACCTTGTTCTTCCCAATAGCAACAATCAAATATCTCCCATCTTTCCTACTCCCTTGGAAAATTAATGACTTGGTCAGGTTAGTTCCAAGAGCTGTCATTTTGCCCTAGCACAAGAAGCCATCTTATTTGAAGAGTGCTGTAGGCACTGCAATACCAGCAGCTTCCATTAAGAGACTTCCAAGAGAATTGACAACCATTGCTTCTCCCGCCTCCGCCCCCAGAACCATCAACAACATTTTCTCTGGAAAGTGACAGAGATTCATTTTGCAGGTCAGCCTTAGGATTCTAGTACTTATGAAGAACCACAATTAGCAAAATAAATGCAGTCATCTCGCCAGCACTTGGACCTGTTACCATAGAAGCAGACAAATGTCCAAGTTCAGCTGATCTTGTCTGCAGGGAAGAACAAGTTCCACCAGAGTCTGAAACATCCACTCTGGATCAGCAAGGTTGCATGCATCCCTTAAGAGTCACACTGAGTTTAAGAAGCAGATTCACATCATGCAAGAAAGCAAGTTTGCTCTCTTCAATTCAGTAAATTAATAATCTGTAATAAGCCTGAGGAATTCCACTGGACTCTGGAGTCAAGGCATGAGATTAGACTTCTATGACTTTCAAACAATAAAAGTAGGGAAGGGAATTAAAAACGAATGAACAAACATTACATTTTAGGAACTGGTGTGGCATCAAAACATAAGACAAACTGATGAGAGATTCTCACTAGAAAGGAGATCCCGTTAGTTGACAAGGCTAAAGAAAGTGCTTTCGCATCTGCCATAGGAAAAAGAAAGTAAAGCGTGTCAATCAGCAAGCACAGAATAGAAGAAATAGCAAGTGAAATCAGCTTCTTGGGTGATTTAAGTTACTCCACTCAAGATGAAGCAACAAAGATAAAAAACCTAAAGAGGCAGAGGACTTCCTGGAAAACCTAACCAGATATATTAACACAGTACTAATTAGTAAATTAGCCTATTGCACAATTTAAAAAATAAATAAATATCTTAAAAGTCTGGGAGAACAAGGAAGCACCAGGTGACAATATTCCTATAAGAAAAAACTGGAACCACATTGGCTTTATAAATTTCTCTTGAATCTCTGCTAAAAAAGTGAAATAAATACCAGGACAGAAAAAAAAAAATGTCCTAATCATTTGGAGAATAATGGAAGCATGGCAAAATCAAGCCATTTTAGATGGTTGTACATATATATAGCAAATAGCTTTTGGCACATAAACACTGCACCCACAGCCAACAGGATATCTCATGTATTAACTTACTTTTGTGTCCAAGTGATGGTGTAATTTCCAACACCTTTTCTCTTCTACCAGGAACAATTTTATAAAACACTGCTGATAATAGGAGCTGACAGACCTAGCAGTAAAACTACAGCCTGTTCCCAGAAGGCTATATAGAATAACTATATAGAGTCACAAGCATTTAACCCACTGAATGAAAGCGTATTTAACAGAGAGCATAATACCTTTGGTATTTTAGGGTCTCAAGATATTCTACAGGGTAAAACCAGAGTAAAACAAACCTTCTTGCTGTTCAAGTTAAATTCACTTCCAGGAAAGGCAGTTAATCAGTCAATCAATCCATTGCATTTCATCATCAACTACAGGCAGCAGTTTTAGAGTAACAATCAACATTGCACCCCAGCACCTGGAAGAGCCTTTGGAGCAGTTTGTTCTGTGCTGGTAGTGCAGCAGTTGTCATTGTTATGCACTGAAATAAACTCAACAGTGTTTCAACACAAAAAAAACCAAAACCCATCGCTTTCGGATGTCTGTATAGCTTTCTGGCAAACAAGTATGCTACCTTTCAGGTGTCTACTATGATTAGAATTTATTTTTCTTAGATATCACAGGAAGGCTTATTTATGACTGGAGAGTGTATAATTTAGATGGCAAGAAAGCAGAGTGAAACATCAATCTGCATACTGAGGAAACAAAAACAACCTGCTTCTCCACTTTGTCAGTGGCAGAACTGGAAAAGAGCCAGCGAACTAGAGGGCAGTGATGTCGAGCACATCCCCTACAATGAATAGCTCCACATACCGTGAACCTGTAGCTTGGAAACATGATGGCTGAGGACATGTATGATACAGGGCTGTAAAAAGTGGCAAGGAGATGAGGAATAGGAGTGGTCATTACTACATCTGACAGTGAAATAATAAGGGTCACTTGATGAAATCATCAAGTAAACCATTAAAATTGCCTGAAGACTGTTCTTTTTAATACTGCACAATGAACTCAGGGTCCACTGCCACAGAACACTGTGGAGGCCAAATGTATAAAAGGATTTTTAAAAAAGGACTAAGTGCATTTGTTAAGGCCAGGTCCAGAAGGAACTGCCAGTTCAGAATGTCCACAGACTGCTGGAACAGTGTCAGAGAAAGACTTTTGTACCCAAGCTTTATTTTTTATGCTTCTGTGATCACCTGTTGGTGCCCTCAGAGAGAGGATAGCAGATTAGATGGCCTTTGGCCTGATTGCATACAGCGTCTCTTATGGATCAAAGCCCATGATTTAGGCATTTTTTAGAGCTTGGAAATGTTAACCTGAGGGGGAAAAAAAAAGAAAAAAAAAGGGAGCATTTGAAAAGCTTGTCTGCCTGCTTTGCTTCTTTTCAGCCTCAGAGATGTGTCCCTTAATCATACAGTTTCCATGAAGGGTAAAGTACCGCTCACTTAGCAACAAACAGGATTTTATAGCAGCCATCGAAAGCTGTGTGACTGCTCCCAGATCTGCCCACTCTCCCATGTAAGGCATTTCTCTGACCCAGTCTCAGCTGCAGGTTAAACACTCTCCTAATACTCCAGTGCTTCTTTTTAAAAGATTATTGCCAAATCGCTTTGTTTGACTACTGTATTTACGACATGAAATAAACAGTTAAGATACTAATCCATTGGCCTTCTCCCCCAACCACTAGTTCCTGTGTGGATAAGTGACAACAGGAATTTACAGAAGACTCCTTGAGGACAAAGCATTGCTATGCTGTCTGTAAACATCACTGTTTCACCCAGAATTTGCCACTGATTGGACTTTGAGTTCCAGCCGGTCGGGCCAATACATTTCTGCAATGCAGCAGAGTAAACAATGCAACACAGTGATTCTGAGTCTGTAACTAAACAGACTGAAGTAGCAGCATAAGTAAGTCAGAAAATCTCCTGCATTTACCTGGACACAGAGCAAGCTCTGAGACCAGTCATCACAGTTGTTTTTATGTATAAAATCTATATGCACACACACGTATGGACTAATACATTCATCATCAACCCTCATTTAAGGGACCAACCATCCAAAGTCTATGCTTCACCCAGTAAATAGGATTTAACTGGGGGTGCCAGCTGCATCCAGGATCACACAGTGGCTTGACAGACCACTGTGTAAGGACAAATCAATAAACATGTTACAAAGCCAGCTTGTTCAGTCTTCAGTTTCCCAGGCAATCAAGATAACACACAGGTAGATTGTTTGCTTTTATCGCTTGCAGTGGAGTTTGGACCCAGGTTACCTGGAATGAAAAAGAAGACAAAAAAATGTTACTATCAAGTAAATAAGATCCAGATAAAGTTTGGACTCAAGCTTTAATCCTTGTTATTTATGATACGCCTCATGTTAGACCTACATCACTCCGCATTCTCTGGGGGTTTTATTTCTTCATTCTGTGAAATGAAGGCACACTAAAATAACTGCTATAAACCACCGGAGAAGTAATTCCAGGCTTTGGCCTGTACCTAGGCTAATGTCAGTGGAATTCTCAGATTCCAGATGGTGCCAAAAAGCAGCCTGGCCATGACTTGAGTGGAAGGTTTTTCAAGCAGTAAGAGATGAAAACGAAAAAGAAAGGTCAGCTCATCTCATCCATCAGATCCCAACACACATTCTCATTGAGCTTTTCCCATGTTCAGTATTAAACATCTCAAGTGGTGATATTTCCACCATTTCCTTTGCAAGAGAAATCCAGAGACCTCAGATCCTCCAGTTAAGCAGCATATAATGCTGCCCAATTTTTTATCTTCTTAAGATTTATTCCATTGCTCACTCTATAGATTTTCTTCTTTTCCAAATATCTGTACTTTTTAACACTTGCACTTCATTGCAGCCAGATTCTGAACTGGATGCCCCAGCAAACTTTTTTCAAGCACTTGTACTTAAGCGTGCTTGCATAAGCTTTTGCAAGTAAGCAAGCTCTGCTGTACTCAGGGCTCAGCTAGGCTCACACAATGTATATCACATATATTCCAAGGCTGTATGTACTGAGGGAGGGCAGCTGCATGGCTTACAGCCACTCTGAACAAGGACAGACCCCACTTACATATTTCTACAGAAGGAAGGGATAGGTACATCTCTCATGCAGTTGGAGCCAATGATCAGTACAGGAAAACTGCCTGACACGTTACTGAGAAGTCTCAATCATGCTGAACTGAGGAAAAATTCTGTCCAATGAACTGGGCTTCAAGTGAATTATTTTCATAGAATCATGGAATCATTAAGGTTGAAAAATATCTCTAAGTTCATGTTGTCCAGCCATCCACATCACTCTTTTGCTTGTGGGTATTTGACCAACATTTTCCTCACCTGTACGTGATGGTAAAGACAAGAGCTCCCTCTCCCCTCCTGCACTGCAATTTCTGCATATCCATGTGAGAGGCTGCACTGCAGTCTACTCTCCCTTTTGTGGTTGTTCTATATGCTACAGCCTCCTTCCCACAACTCCACATGGCATTTCATTCTAACTGTTGTACCCCTTAGTCCCATTCTGTATATTACTACTAATCTTACCATTGCCCCTATCTCCTTGCCAACCCCATTCCCCTCCTTGTCTGTATCATGTTCAAGACCTTCATATTTACCTTCAAAAGCATTAATGCTCCTTCTCAGCTCAGTCTCAGCTCCCAGCTCCTTTATTCTTCTCACTCTTCCTACTCTTGTCTTCTGGCCTTTTTCTACAGATCCTGCTACAGTTGGAGCAAACACAGTCCTTGTGTGTACCCAACATCATTTCCCTCTCTCTCTTTACAACAGGAGCTAAAATGTCCAGTTATCACTAGTCTATGATCCCACTGCGGCTGAAAAGCACTAATGATAACTAAACAGCTTTTTCCTTCCACCTAGACTGCTGCTTGCAGGGGAGAAAATAAAACAAAAAGCCAGTGCCTTCCAAAGGCACGCAGCTTTGAAACCCTTGCAGTATTTCTGAGAAACTGCACACAGACTTCAGTGTCTTTGCTGATCACAGCCTGCCCAGCAGCAGCATAAAATTAACAACATTCTGGTCAGGTTCAGAGCTGTTGTTGCTGTGCTTCGAAGCAGGCAATACCGAAATTCAAGAATTGTGTTGATTTGATGGTGTGGTTTAAGCAAACCTTGTAAGACAAAACACAATCTCCCTGTACTGCAGTAGAACAACACCCCAGGAAGTTAATTTAAGCATGTAATTCAGGACATTACTATCTGGATTTTCCTTGTATTTTCCCTTCTTTTGCCCTTGTGTTTTCCAGGCTCCCCATTCTAACTTGTAGTTATCATTTTCTAGCATGTAAATACCCTGCCACATTTTCAGAGACTGTTCAAAATACAGTTTCACCCCATCTCAGCTTGTATTCTTTTCAACACCATTTGCTCTTACAAGACTGAACCGGACATTCAGTCTGCTTGAATAATGTCTTTCCATTACTCTGCAAGCTACTTGGGGTGTAGATCTGGTCTTTTGGTGCATTTGCAAGGTGTGATGTGTCTCTGTGGTACAAAAGAATCACAGAATTAATGGTGACTTTGGAGGATGTGTGCACAGGCAGGCCCAAAGGGCTTAAGCGTGCTGTTTAATTTTCACAAAAGGTAGGGGCAACTATTTCAAACAGTGAAGCTCTGAATAATTGCATCCTAACCTGACTGCATATCTAGCACTATCTCCCTCCTTCATTTCCACTTCTTACCTGCCTTCTGTCACTCAGGGTATTGCAGCATCAGTTTTGACTAGGTCTGCTCAAGGACAACTTAAAGTTTTAAAACATTACAGGTCATACAGTTTCCTCAGAACAAAAGGTCTCCTGTTTTCATCTTTAAGATGGAACTTTATTCCATATCTAGTTTCAGGTTGCTTTTATTAAATCCTAATGAAGCACATGCTGCTGATCAAGTAGCTGCAGTATCTTCTGTGGTAACTCAATTTTTCCTTTCTCATCTCTCTAATGTGCCCTCTGCATCTCCGTTCACTTTGGAACCACCAGGCTAGTGAAGCTTTCTTTCACAAGCAGTGAGTCAAATGTAACACACAGTGATCTTCCCTCAGCCTTTTACATGGGATGACCTAAGCCTACTTGCACCACACTTCAAAAGCTATGGAGTCTCCCACTGTCACTGGAGCAGGCAATCTCATTTAGCATAAAGCAAAGCAGGAAACATTTGCATTGACTTCTTGGAAAGACTTGTGAGGAAAAACACAGCAGGAAGGTTGGAGAACAGAACCTCTGCTCCTTCCCTGTATTTTCAAAGTGGCTTGCCTGGGAACATCCTAGGTCTCCCAAGTTCAGTGTTTTGTGTTCTCCTTTACTGAAAGAGGTGCCAGCTTTCAGGAAGTAGCAGTGACAATTAATAAAACCTGAACATAATAGCATGATATTGTCCTTATGGAAATGGTCCAGAACAAGCTGGCATAGATCCACTGTGTTAAAAGGAGACATCCCTGCTGCCCTGACCTGTGCAAAGCCTAGAAGGGCTCAATACCTCAGTGTCCAACTAGAGAGATGAGTCACTCTCTTGCCTTAATCTGTACCTAATTTTGCCATGTTGCCATACTGTGGGAATGGAGGGCTGTCTGCTTTAAAGCAGCTGACAACAAGAAACTTGGGGAATGTCTGATATTATGAAGTGCTGACAAATCAGAACTTACACAATTCTCCATTTCTGTCACTAGAGGGTAGTGCAAGTCCTCAGGTCCAATCCTCTGAAAAGAAATGCCCATACATCTCCCTATAGGTCTAGGAATTTTCTTTTTCCTAGCCCTGAGGAATGGGCCCCAGCAGCGCATGCTATCTGCTCAGGAAATAAAGTGATGTGAGAGGATAAAGACCAAGGTTTACTTATGCGTCCCTAAATGCGAAACACATCCTAACATGGGTCTACTATAATCTCAAATAATCAATTTATGCCTTCTTATAGTTCTCTTCTCTTGTTTTCATTTGGCATTTTTGAGTCTGTCCTTCATTTAGCCAGAAATACTTCTAAGAATTTAATCAATCACAACCTGGAACCTTTCTAGTACTTTGTTTTCCTTTTTGCTCTCCGGGGAATATCTTTCCACGTCACATCATGGCAGACTTAAGGGAATTCATGTTTTCACTCTCACATTTTGAATTTATCAGAGCATAGCATGGCCAGACAAGTTGGGAAGAATTTTTCCTCTCTAAACTAGTTTATTTTCCTGCTAGTGCAAGATGAAATGACATCCAGCACACCTCACTGGGAGAGAAAGACAACCAGGCTGAGTAGTCCTTAGTTTTACCTTAAACTGACAAAGCACCTGAAATGTTGAGATGTTAGCAATGAACACATAAACTAGGAGAAATTGTTATCATTTGTTTATTCAACCAAATGAAGACCTGGAAGAGCTCAGTGAATATACCAACAACTCCTTAGCAAAGAAGGGAAGATTCAGATCTAGTGCTTCTCCATAGCTTCTATTTTCATGACCCTCTTTTCCATTTCAAAGATAAAGGAGCAAGTTTAAAAAACTTCCACCTTCTCCACTTCTTGCACTCTTACCTCAACAGAAACTTGTTTCCTTCCTTCTCTGCAAGAAACCCTGGCACAGTAAACACACTTGACAAAAGCCAAATGATGAAAGGAGGGGTTACACTGGAAATCTGTCTGCACACTGCTAACCACTACAACACCAAGCACATTGTTGCTGCTTTTCAGGACACGGCACTTAAAGAACTGTACATGCAACCTGTTTTTTACAAGGAGACATTCATCTTTCTATCCCACATCTGCTCACTGGGAAGCATCAGAAAGCATATACATGAGAAGTAGCAATCTTACAGTAAGAATGCCATTAAATTGCCTTTGGAATCATGCTTAGGTTGATGCAACTTCTACTCTTGTTTGATCCTGTTCATTTTAGTACAGAGGAAATAAGATCTTACTCAGGAGCCTGTACATCCACACCAGTCAACCAAACTCAGAGACAGCTTAAAACCACAGAAGCAGAATGTGCTAACAGGAGAGGTTTTACCTGAGATGCCTTCAGCGCTCCGAACGCTGGCATGGCTTGTGCTGAGCTGCTCATATTCCAGTTTCATATTCCCAAGGTCTTCCCCTGAGTGTCCTTCACTGGCAAAAGAATTTGCTTCAATGCTTGAACCTGGAGATCGTTTGGCCTTGCGACCAAAAATCCCACTGGCAAACCGTTTTCCTTGCTTTGAGTTGGCCTGTGCATCTTCTTTCTTCACGTCACGAATGGACTCTCTGGACTTGGATTTATTTTTCAGATCCATGTGTAATCGGGAGAATAGTTTCTGAGGGCTCCGATTCTGCTTGTTAAAGTTCTCCAGAGGTGGTTCAATCTCTGGGAGTTCTTGCTCTAATGTGATTAAGTCATTCAGAAATTGATTTAATCGTTTCTTAGACTCACTTGTTTCTTCCCTTTCCTTATTATCCTGATTATCCTGCTTGTGTCGTGAAGACCAGAGCAACATGTCACCACGGGTTGCCCCTGCCACTAAGCCATACTTGGGATTAATGATCTTCTGAGCCACAGTAGAGGAATGAAAGTCTGATTTCCCAATTCCATGAAGGTTTGGATTAGCAATACCCAATTCCTTGAAGAAATTTACTTCCTCTGAGATGGCGTAGAGTTCACGAAACTCAATGTCAAACATCTCCACATGCTGTCCTGTCAAGACTAGTAGGATGTTTCTATCAATATGGGATGAACTCCATGTGAAGCTAAGAATAGGAAACAGAACCATAAGACTTTTGCATACTTGACTCAGCACACCCAACAATATCTGAAACACCATGAGAATACATAGCATTGTGCTATTTGCCAATATGGGTCAGGATAGGTAGGTGAAGTTGAGTATTATTGTTCTTCATTAGGCACGCAGACAAGATCTGGAAGAAAATACCTGAAAACTCTGAAGAACAGCATATTCTTTTAGAAAAGCAACTGCAAGAGTCTCCAGATTGGAAACCTTTCTGAAGAGAACTGACTACAGTGGCCAATGCAGCATGGCACCGTTTCTAGCACAATGAAACTGTCAGGGACGTATTCTATTCTCCTGGGAGCAGTTTGTGCTTTATGCTACCTTATCTCTTATCTTACTCCAATTTCTACAGATGCCAAACAGATTACAGAGAGGAGGATAAGAAAATGAACAACATAAGAACACAAGCCATTCTTTACATAAGAAGAACGTAGCTCTGCCTTATGCACGAGCAACTCACCTGTATGATCCAGTGGCCACCTTTTCACCATCTACCATCAAGAATCGAGATGCCAGTGTACCTCTGATCTTCCCTGTCTTCATGTAGAACCCAACTCCTGTCACAGAACGGATGCGGATGTTCTAACCAGGAAGTAAAAAAATAAAATTTCACAATAAATAGGGCAGACAATTAAATAATTGCCAACTCCAAGTCTTAACACATCACTCACATTATCTCATAACTTCTGGGACTACAGCTCATCATTAGACACCAGAAATCAGAAGGGCTGCAGAAAGGAAAGCAGAGTGTTGAAAACTCTGTTGTTATCATCTTTCAGTACAAGTTACTCCTATGCATCAGTGTATAACCCTGTTCAGTAAGTCAGCATCTTTGTAACTGTCTGCTGTCTTCAGCTATTTGTCTTAGTCCACTGACAAGACAATGCTTTCCAAATGAAATAATCCACCATCTCTAGTCCTGTGCTGTAGAAGGCCCAACCCAGTTCAGGGGAATGAAGCTCTGAGTCACATCTGTACTCTCTGAATCCCAATCCCTATTCCATAGCATCAGTGAGCTCCTTTTCAGACAATGTTAGCAGAACCACAAAAGCAAGGAACTTTGCAACGCCTATGCAATCAAAAAGAGTCAGAATATATTGTAAGAGGCTTAAATTAGGTTATTTTAGGCTTGTGTTCTGATCCCAACAACATATAGTTTGATAAAACTGGGCAAATTATAGGACTAGGCTATTTAATTATTACAGAAGTGGTGAGGAAACAGTTGTACCATTCAAAACATATTAGATGTTTCCTGCCAAGGAACCCTGACATCATTTTGCTAAGAACACCAAACAGTTACAATGTCTACCTACATTCATCTCTGTTCAATGGAAAAACAGTTCAGTGAAAAACACAGAATTTTATTCTGAATAAAAGGTGTAGGATAAGTGTTTCTGCTGATGTCCCAAATAGATCAGCAAAGAAGTATTTCTGCAGGTAGGGAAGACAAAACTTCTTATGAAATGTACTGAAGTAGTTGGAAGAAAGTATAATCTTTCCTTAAACCTCCTGGCTCACACCCTTTTAGCCACTGAACCTACAAATAATAGCACAAAGCAGTACAAGAGACAGGGGAAAAAACCCAATTTCAGGTTACCTGATTTTCTAGAACAGACATGCATACACATAGTATAAAAACATATTTGCATGTTAGACTGTGAGTTATTCTGCACAGACCAATGCTGAACTCCATGGGTCCTGGCTGCTCGAGGATGAATTGCCAGACAGGTGTACATACATATTGCCTAACATTAAAAAAAAAAAAAAAAAACCAACAAAAAACAACAACAAAAAAATGCTCAAAAGCACTCATTGCCAGCAAAGTTTGGAGCAAATTATCTTGTCACTCTGACATACAAATTTAGACCATTTTCTTCATACCATCTGTTTCTCTTAAGAATTCTTTAACAATGAAAAGCTAAAAGGTATTGTGATCTAGAGTAATAAATATAGGGTTAGGAGTCAGACAGTCTCATGTGTAATCACAGTTCTGGCAGTATTCCCTCTTATGTTCTGTGAAAGTCAATTCACCTTTGCCTCATTCTTCCCCCATCTGCAGAACAGGAGAATCATGAGGATTTGGCTAACACTAGCACAGCCTCCGATCCCACAAAGAGCTAAGTACTATTATTATGAACCTAATTGACAGCTTAAATATCGATAGGCTGTAGAAATCAGCATGCAGGAATGAGTGATTATAAGAATGTGGATTTCTGTCAAAAAACAGTTTTCCGAATATAACTCTTACCTTCTGAATCTGTTCCTATTTTCTTCAGTAAAATACAGTGGTGGCAGTACAAATTCTGACTAACAGTAACTGATGACACTACTGTTTTGCATTCATCTACTGCTTGATCTGTCTGCAGTCCTGTGTGGGCATTAGCTAATTAATCCTCCAAACACCAATGACAGTATTATCGCCCTGTTTTAAAGATGAGAAACCTGAGAGACAAAAAAGATGAAGTGACTTGCCCAAGGCCTAACTAGCAGTGAGTCATTTGTGTGGGATGCTGAATGCAGGTTGGATAGAGCACATGAGAAAGGCTGCCCTTTCCAGTATTTAGAATAACATTTGTAGATGACTGGCTGGTTGTCTAAAATAATTGTGTTTTTTTTTTCCCTTGCTGAATAAAGCTGGATTTGGAATTTGCCAAATCATGGAATCTTGACTGCAGGTGTCAATGAGGACATCTGTCCTTCAAATCAGCCGACAGCTCTGAAATGTCATATTCCTTTCTGAATCGAGGAGTATCGGCCTGTGTAAGCAGACTGTTTCTTAGCATGTAACAAGTGTGGATTTTATTGTGTTTGTATGTTATATCACCTTCTTTAGGAAGAGAGAAAGCACATTTGAATTTTTGCAGTAACTGAGCTATGCTTAACACTGACAAAGGCACAGAAGGGGATAGAACCAAACAGCTGAACACATAAACCTCCTTGAACAAAGTAGGCACAGGAGTGTATAAATGGATCTTGAAATGCAGAAAACAAGCACAAAGTCATATAAAACACCAAGTCACTTAATAGGTTATTTGTATAACGTTTTCCACTTCGAAGGATCTTGGAGCACTTGAAGACTAATATATCAAGCTGTACAGAGAAAGAACAAGCCTGGGTTCATGTACTGAAGATTACACAACAGGAGTGGAAAGACAAATATAAATGAGGTGAGATTCCAGCCATTTTCTTTGGGCACTAATGTTATTGTATGAACCGTATTTGGGGTAAAGGATCAGTTAGTTTCCAGGTAGAAGAGATCTTTCCAAACCTGTATTCTTGCAGCAACTTGCTTAAGTTTGGTTATGTCCTGCCTCATGTAGGCTGCAGTCTTTGTTAGGTTTCCGCATTTCCTTTACACAGACTTACACCACTCCTCATTGCAAGCAGTGACTAACAACTATCTGGCAACAACTTAATACAGACTGGTAACACTCCAGCCTAATTAATGCACACAGTAAAGGAATCAGTCTTTCTTGATTTATTGTGACACACTTTTAAACCTTGTGCTGCATCCACAGAAAGTTAAATTAGACTCAACTGAGAAAGTCAGTAGTACAGTTACTGACACGTAGTTGACCACTAACAGACCCGAGCAGGAGTGCCCACAAGCACAGGTTGGATATCATGAGGTACGTGGGATGGACTCTAAAGGTGGGTGCTGCAAGTATTTTCACCAGGGAATCCTCTATGTCCCTTTGCTCTTAGAGCTTCTAACGACTGATATAAATGTTGCAAAGGAAGCAAAAATCTGTGTTTCCTTTGGGATGAATGGCATGAAAGATTTAAATCAGATAAAGGACAAGCAACAGACTATAGCAGTAGATGTTACGTGACAATAGCTCAGAAGTCCCTTATACTGACTGTTTTTTTTGTGTGTGTGTCTTTTTAGAAAGAGACACCTGTACATTACTGTTTTTGAAAGGTCACAAGCAGTCTAGTAGAATTTTCTAACAGATAATTAAAACAAAACAGCACTGCATCACATCACATTCAGCTTCTCCGTCGAGTTAGAACTGGATGAGGAAATCTGGAAGGTAAGACATGAAAAACTGAAACAAAATTGAAAAAAATGTTTTAGGCAGAAACCTTTAAGACTACCTACAGAGAGGAAAAGAAATCTTTGCATGCTAGGAAAATGAATGTAAAAATTAATATGAAAGTGAACTTCCTGCAGATACCACATTCCCTGCATTTTCTCAGAGCTCTAGGTGAACTCCATGTCTTTAACCAAAAGTGTTTCTCATTGAAGACTTGACTAGCAGAAGCACAGGGAAGAAAACACTTCTAAAAACTGCTGACAATCTTCACCCTCAGGTCAACAAGAAGAGGACATTTTGTGGGGCTATGAATTTTATATCTATGAGAACTTTGATTCGTTCTGATCTCAGAAGAACACCCTTATGTCAAACACAACAAAAGTCTGGCAAACCACATCCCGCAGGCTCAAGAAGCCACATGACTCATACAAACAAGACATGCTCACATTAACATCTCAGGATGAATACACAGATGATTGAAGTTAAATGCATTTTTAACGATCTCTGGCCTTCATACAAAGTATGAGATTTTCTCATTTCAAATGTGAAGACAGTGAAGAGTCTTCGTAGAGTGAGATACAGTCTTCCTACACCATTTTCCCTGCTGTGAGACTGTGGGAGGATGGTGATACCTTGCCATCTTAAAAAAATAGACAGGAATTTTGTGAAAATGCCCTGCACTAAATGTAGACAAAGGGCAAAATCCAGTGTTAGCAGTAAGCTTCCCTGTACTGGGACTGTTAATTCTTCACTCTGCACTGGATGAAGAGACCAACGGAGGACAAGAACAAGAATCACAGCAGTCTGAGCATCTGGTGATGACAGAAGACAGAATAAGCACCCTGAAGCTGCAGCAATGTCAACCAATAGTAATGTGTCATCTCTTCCTCTCTCACATGAGAATTTGACACTAAACCTAAAAGTTATCTCCCACATTGCTGCAACTTTCTGTGGAAAAGCCAGCACTAAAAATGCAAAACAACCCCAGACACATTAGCTCAGTGAGGTGGGGTAAGTCCTCAAGGGAGAGATTACATCTTGCTTGAGATTCCTTGGTTATCCAAAACCTGATGTCAAACCCAACCCAAACAGCAGCACTGATACATCCAAGAAAGCTTTGCAGGAAAGCATGACCAACAAGCTGCACCTCATCTTCTTGACCCTTATAGTCACACTAACAACGGGAACTTGGGCAGGATGGTAAGAGGCCATTATCCTTGAGAAGCAAGTGACCTGCTTTTCCTTACAGGAAGATTCTTCCCAGTCTTTCCATAGCACCACAGAAAGGAATAAATTGCACTGACCTTCACAAAATTAACTAAAGCCTCCTTAGCTGTACTGGAAAAGGAATATATCCCTAGGAGGGAAATTTATGACACAGGATGACACAGCTGGGAAAACAAAAAAAAAAAAAAGTAAAAGGACAACAGTCTGTAGGTTGAAAATTTGCAGAGGAGTGAGGAACTTGGTTAAAGAAGGATGTTAAAAGGTTCCTCATTGGTGGAACTCCTTCAACTCAGTATGAGTCTAAAGAAAAACACAGCAAGTGCTGCTGTGAGAGAAGGGAAGCACAGAAGAGACTTAAGAGTTTTCTAGTGCTTTTGATGGCATCAGTATTGAAGTCATCATTCTTGCACACAATGACATGGTGAGAAAGGTACTGGAAAACAGGTACCAGAGCAAATGGAACTACTGCTCTACTTGTACAGTTTTCTACCAAAGCGACTTGAGCCCAGGCCACAGAATACCTCTGGAGCTTGAAACAGGTCTATTATAACAATGTCTGTGTCTTGCTTTCAAATACACCAGAGGAAAGAAACTTCCATCTCTGTTTTGGGAAAAGATGAGAAAGCTGCTCAGCTGGATGTCTTTTCTCATTAAGAAGGCCAGAAACTACGAGCAGAGCGATAGTTCATAGAAGCACTGTTCAGAAATATGCAATTCATTTTCACCCACATTTAAGATAGTACTGCTTGAATGGTTAATATGAGCCTCTCTTACCTTTAGAGCTTTTGTTTGTTTGTTTTTAACTACTGTTTGTGGAAGATCTGCCCTTCCTCCAGGCAAAATGGGACCTTTTTTTTTTTTTTTTTTTTTAAAACTGCTCTGCAAAGCAGTTGGATCACAAGAGTGGTGAGTCTTGCACCCTGTAGATTGTTTCCAATCCAGTGACTTTTCCAGTATTTGGAACAAATCTGTAGTAGTGACAGTGACTTAAACAGTGAGCAACACAACAGCAGCTATAAACACACAAAAGATTTCAGTTTGTATGCAATGGAAAGAGATTCTACTGAAGTTGCTTCTGCCTGCCAAGGTAGGCTGCATATTCTGCTGTGGTTCATGTACTATGTGAAGACATACTCCAATATGGAACCGAAGAGCAGTTGTGCCCCCCAGTCCCAAATGTCCTCTGGCAAAGGAGGAATAAAAGCTTGTTCAGTCCCAGATGACCACATAGATAGGAAAGTCTCGATTTCACAAAGTATGTATATGTGTACTGTTATTGTTTGCGTGGAGTCCAGTTACTCAAATAACTACTCTAGAAATCTGGGACTTGCATAGGAGACCTACAGGAATTTCCTCAAGCAAATTTCTTCCTAAAAGAAATATACAGGTCACAAGAGCCAAAAAGCTACACAGATCTCTGTTTCAGGTGAAAGGCAAATAATCTCTCCAAATGAGTTACAAGGTTTGTTACAATTCAGGAAGGCCACTTAACTGCAAAAAATGATGATTCAGTCTTGAATATCTTACCCGAATCTGCAAGTCACTGAGTTCAAGGCATCTGCACATTTCCAGGAAGAGCTTCACACCATCCTCATCTAGGATTATATAGACTGGAATCCAGCGCTTATATGCTGCATTAACAATATCTCGGAAGATGTCCCGGTCTGTAAATACATCCATGACCACTGCAATAATCTAGAAACAAGAAGACAGCAGACAAGCAACTAAATAAAATATTAGGAACTGAAAGGGAAGCCCATTTCAACGGTACAAAATAAAGGAGAGCACTGACACCAGAACATGGAAGAACACATAGGTGAGACAGGAGTATGGGGATGTATGTGCCCAAGCACTTCCAATAACTTTGTAATTTTCTGGCATGGCTCCTGCTGCATTTTAGAAAGAATGCAATAACTAACTGTCTTTGAGGGGTCTCCTTCTAAGGGAAGATGGCTATTTCAGCAGCCTGAAGAATACCAAAGCCAAATACCCATTTTTAATCCAGCGTTGTGAAACTCTCTTTGCCTCCATTAGGATCCACTTAAACAAAGAGAAACACTGATAAAAGTCTAAAAAAGAAGAGTGAAAAACTCAGCCATAACACTTCTCAGAAGGTGAGTAATGGAAGAATGAATGTGCAGAGGAATCAGAGCATATAGTGCACAAAGCAGACAAAAAGAACTCTGCTCTCAGGGCTGGCTTCATGAGGAATGTCATGTGAGCTCAAATATAAACATCTCATAATTGTAAGGAAGAGACTGGAGCACACATTCAAGATTTGGAGGCAAAACAATTTGCTCTCTTCACATGCACATTTTTTCTGGTATGAAACTAATCCCTCTTTCCAGACACAGATCTTTTTATATAAAAGCAAGAAAGCAAAAGGTTGCACTAACATGACAGACAAGCCTGAACATTCATAGGATGAGTAACAACAAAAACAAGATGACTGTGGGCAACTTTTATGCTGACCTTATATGTTTTGTCTTCCTCTCCCTTTCTGTGTCTTTAACACCATTAGAAGAATCAGTTCACTTTTCCTCCTGAAGGAGTTATTCTCCACAGCATTCTGAAGGCTATGAATGAAGGAAACTGCTGTTCTCCCCATCCCTATGAACCATCAGCTTGGCAGGTCAGAGCTCTCATGCTGACGGTAAGCTGGGAGTAAAGTTGCCTAAATTCTAGCTTCCCAGGTGCCAGGGTCACAGCAATGAGCTGAGCTGTGCTGCAAATAGCACATAATGTGTGAATGGAGCTGAAGGCTACACCTAACAGTAGAATTTTCTTCAGTTGATGTTTGGAAAAGGAGCAGCTCCAGTTGCAGTACCTCCCTGCAGAAGGGGGGATAGTTCTCACCCAGCACTTCTTTTCTTTGAAAATGGCCTTGAGTAAAATGGATGTGGGAAAGTGATACCACAGTAAATGTTCTCTGTTTTTGTTGAGTCTCTCTGTATGGCCAACAATAACCAACAACTCTGCTCTGTCACGCTCCTTCTGTCAGCAGTGCTTACACAAGCTGTTCTTTATTAGAAAAAGAAAAAAAGAGCTGACATTGTGTTTATGTCCATCATTAACATGTACATTCCTGATACAGGGGAACTGTGGAGGAAGTACATTACAAGCTAATTTTAAGTCCTTCAACAACTTCTCTTAGGTTAGAAGAACTGGATTTCAGCTCCCACCTTGGTTCTTACTTTCTAACTAAATGCAGCAAGAGGCAAGGAATTCTGAAAAATACACTGAAATTCTGCCACTTTACTCTTCAACAACTTCACATGCAGGCACATTATGACTTAAGCTTTGAGGTGTGCTGTGCTTTCTTAATCTTTCACACACACTGGTCTGGATGTCATTACTCAGCAGCAAGAACACCAAATAAAATCCATTTGAAATAAAAACATTAGCATAAGGAATTGATGAAGAATAGACAAAAGAAGTAGAAATGTATTTTCTTTCCATCTCCTCCATCCACAAGAAGACCAATGACTGCAGAAATAGAAGCACATCCTGGACAGACCACTGATTATTAGTACTGGCATTGCAGTATGAAGGAACAGTTGCCTACCGGCTTGGCTGCTCTAGGTCAGTTCAGGCTTGTTTGCAAGACTATGGACTTAACCCACAAATATGGAAACTAAGTCCATAGGAAAAGCTGATGAACTGCTTTGCAGATGGTTCGTTCAAGACTCAAACTGTGAGAGGGGCAACTGCGCTGCTGATGTTAGTCTTTCCAAACCCCTGACACTACAGATGATCTGTCAAGATAACCTAGGAGCGTTCTCAAACACAGCAAGTCAGAGCATGAGCCCATGTAGGAGTTTTTCTCTTCTCCATTCCTCTCTCTGCCCTATGGATAATAATGCTGCTTATCTATAGGATCTATAGGTATGCCTTGCTCTTCGTGGGTATTTACAGATTGACAAGCATTAACTTGCCAAAATCATTGCGGCAAGGTAGCTCAATTAATGTATGTAAAACACTAATGATAAGCCACCCCTAGACGTGTGCCAAATATTACCAGTATCTCTTTAGGGCCACTCCCTCCTGAAAACCAAAACAAAGCAAAACACCAAAAACAAACAAACAAAACCCCCACTCTAATCTGTTGAATGAAAAGCTCCTACCTGGCGATTTTATTCTCCAAGGCCAGCTTGATGAAAAACAATAGGTACTTATTTAAGAAAAAGACCATTAAACACTAAAATGGCTGTTAAACCTAAAACCACCTTTGGGCTGGGAGGGGCACAGTTCATCTGGTCAGTGAAAAATACCTACAAAGTAATTAATTACCTGTAGATGCCAGGCACAGGTATTGAAAAGAGCAAAGTTTCCCAGTTACCGTACAGTTTGTAAAGGCATTTGCAGCAAAGCAAGAGGATGCAAGTCAGAGCATCAGCAAGTCAGAGCATAAGTATTGTACAGCTTCTGGTTCTTCTGTGTGACTGATTGCGCCAGTAGTGGAATAGGATAACAGGGTGTGCATGTAGTGCTGCAAGCAGGGAGTGGAGAACACCCTCTGGTTAAACGTCTCTCTGGAAAATTTTCTGTGTTTCCCAGCAGATTTGCTTTAAACAAGCCTCTGCAAAGGCTGTGCGTGCAGAGGGTGTGCTTGGAGAGTGGCGGCGGGGGAGAGTGCTGAATCAGAAAGCAGAAAAAACAGAAAGCAGCAAAACTAAGAGAAGGAATGAGGTGGCTTATGCTGCTGTCCCCTCTTCAGAGGGGAGATATCAGCTACAAAAGGCGTAATTTCACAGCCTTTCCTGGAGATTTCACCCAGACCTAGAAAAACCTTGTCACTGTCCCCTACCTCTTCCATGCAAACTCTTGGAGTGCCATGGCTGGCTTGTTTTCTTGACAGAGGTGCACTGTCACCACTAACAGTCCTTTCCAGTCCAAGATAAACAGGAAGAACAGCCTCATATTGTCTGGACTCCGGCTGCCTTGCAGTCAGGGCTGTATTGGATTGCAAACACAGAAAACAATCCAAAACAAACCAGCTGCCCTGTGTTTCACTGGGGTTACCTGCACGTACAGGAGGGGTGGCTGGAGCAGCACCACTACCTGCCTGCCTTCTGGATAATACACTGCAATGGGGCAGGAAAAAAACAAACCACGGCTACAAAACCACGATGTGGAGCTGGGGGTGAACCCATTCCAGACGTCAGCTTTGGGAAACTGCAGTGTGATGGGTGATGAACCGCATGGAAAACCCAGCCTGGTGGCAAGCAGGAGAGCGAAGAATGCTTGCTGTGGTGGTGGGCTCCTGCCACCCGGCCACCCCGCGTGTCCCCAGCCCGGCCCCTCTGCCTGGGTGACCAACAAGTGGACACGGCCCAGGCACAAATGCACAGAGGCCGCTCCCTACCTTCTGTGCCTGTTGGATCATCTCCCGCACCACCTCCTTCAGGTGGGGCACGTTCTCCTCCTTGCGAGGGTGTGTGAAAAGGGCCACGCGGCTGATGCCCCGGTAGAACGTCTTGTCGGTCCAGCCCAGGTCCAGCGGCGGTACCTCCGTGTCCGAGAGCTCAGGCCAGTAGGCCAACGAGACGGCCTTGCTGCCGGGGCCCCCGCCCCGCACCACCTTGGCGCTCTCCCGGGGGTCTTCATATGCCCGCCAGCTGCCCCGCAGGGCCTGCAGCTCCTGGCTGGAGAGGAAGTCCTGGAGACGCTCCTTTCGCAGGGTCTCCCTGTAGGTGGCCTCGCCTCGGCTCACCAGCGTCTCCAGGGCCCACCGCTGCTCCTCGCTGTAATAAAAGCAGGCCTGCGCCTCTGTCACCTTCTCGTTGACGTGCAACTCGTCCAGCAGGTACACCTGGGAGTCCGCCATACTGCCGGCATCCGCAGCGCCGGGAGGCTGTGGAAGGAGAGAGAGGCAGGGCCGGCACCGCCTCACCTGGCCTGCCCGAGCCCGCCCCGACAGGTGGAGCAACCGCCCCGCCCCGTGCCGGCCCCTCACGCGACTCTGGTTCACTGGGGATATGGCTGTCCCCTTCGTTCTGGCCCCCTCCCAGACCTGCCTGCCTGCCTGCGGCTCTGAGCATCGCGGGACAGGGGTGGTGGTTCCGCAGCATGGTGGGCTGGCTGCCCCTGACTTCTGTGCCCGGGGAGAGCCAGGCTTGAGCTGCTGCTGTGGCTTGCAGGAGAATCACAGAATGGCTTAGGGGACCTCATAGCCCACACGGTCCCACCCCGTTCTGCGGGCAGGGCTGCCACCCAGCAGCTCAGGCTGCCCAGGGCCCCATCCAAGCTGGCCTCAACTGCCTTCAGGGATGGGGCACCCACAGCTCTCTGGGCAGCCTGTGCTGGCGACTCACTGCAGTCCAAGTAGAGCATTTTCCCCTAACATCTAACCTAGATCTCCTCTCTTTTAGTTTAAAGCCATTCCCCTTTGTCCTATAGTGTGCAGGCGCGTGAATTCAAAAAGCTATTTAAAGCAGTTTTTTTTTTTTTTTCTTTTCCTTTTGTAGGTGACTGCATTCGTCAGGAATGAGGCAATGCAGGCAGACCATGACAGTGGCCATTGGGCCCAGCTGGCTGCTAGCCGGCCCCCTCCCAACCCACTAAAAGAGCAGCTCAGTGACTCCCAGAAAGCCTAAAAAGCAGGAGGTGGGTGCCGTGTTTACGAGCAGTAGGATGACAGAGCGATTTGCCCAAGGCCGCCCAGCAGGCTGGTGTCAGAGCTGAGAATAAAACCGTGCAGCTCCAAGACTCTGGCTTGGAGTGTGAATAAATAGCCCTACACGTGTCCCAGCTGAGAGACTGGGGGCTGTTATGTTAAATGATTAATTTTGCGTGGTGTGTGATAGTTGCTAGGGGCCTTAATCAAGATGCAGGCCCCGTTGAGGTTTGCAGTGCGTACACAAAGGATAAAAAGCACTTCTTCCCCATTGTAGCCCAAGGACAGCAGCAGACAGAGATGAGCAAGGAAATGGGGATAAAGGCAAGGCAGTGGTGATATACAAACATTCAGAGGCATTTGCAGGGCTTTTCATATGTGATTAGCCCTAATTGCTCACATACACAAAATGCACAAACTGAAGGAATAGAGCTGGAGGAGCTGCTCTTAGTCTCCTCCTTGTAAATGATCACCTGTGCTCAGTTTGTTATAAAAAAATCCATGGAGGAGGTGAAGCACTGTAGCTCTTCTCTGATTTTCTCTCTTAAAATGGAAGGGAGAGTTTTAGTATTCCGGTCTGTCATCGATAGCTTTTCCTGTCATGAAATTCACTTAAAATTTGAAATTGCACTTTGTGGAATCTACTCCTCTGCCTTTCAAATCTCTTAAAAAATACAATTTCAATATATGCCTCTTAGGTTGATTATCTTGGAAACAGGGCTTATGTGGCAGTGGTGTCTCCATCTGTCTGCTTGTCTGTCCATCTCTATTAACTTCTGAACCCACTGGCTGATTTCAAATAAAGGTGGCAGAGGCATAATTATACCCCTACAGGTTTTGTGAAAATAAAGAGCCTGATAGCAAAAATAAACCCTATCACAGTCCCTTGACAGGGAAAGTTGCATTAAGGGTTCACGCCTTATTAGACTTCAAAGATTCCATAAAAGTTGAAACACTAATAAGTTCCTGAACTGTACGAAAAGCTTCAAATGAAGTTTATGCCATGTTAGACACCCCAGTCAATCAACCACAATATACAAATACACAGGAGATGCTGCTTTGTTAGTGTCAGTACTCACTGAAATTCTTTTTTCCTTCTGTACCAGAGGCTGCCATCAGCTCTGCTATTTCATGTGGAGCTAAGTAAAATCTCTTTAATCCGGGATGCTCTATTCAATTGTAGCTGCACAATGTAAGATTTTCTGTTCAGCTAAGACTCCCACATGAAAGCAACGGTGGGTTCACAAATGCATGTTTAGTTTTATGTTTAAAAGCAAGTGAATGTTTCCCACATCCAAGTGAAAGCAACAGAGATTTTCAGCTTGCTGTGATGACATGTTTAGCCCCCATCTCTCACTCTATAAGACAAAGTGTTGTCTCTATGTTGATATGAGAAATAGGGGCATGGAGCTATGCAAAAGCTGAGAGATACACTTTTCCTATGCACGCATGGTGTCGTTGTCCCTCCTCACCACCTGCTCTTCCAGCTAACCATTCCAAACACGAGTATTTTCCATATGAGGTTTTAAAAAATCTGATGATTCAGACTCTTTTGATATACCCTGACCCTTTGGCTGACAGCCTCACCTAAAAGACAGGCAAAAAGAACTGTGGAAACAAACTGCACTTGCTGTCCCAGAGACAACCCAGCCCTTCAGGACTGGAGACTAAACATAGCAAAGAGGGAGGGGGATTTGTGCCTCGCTGGGGCTGACAAGTGAATTCCAGTTTCCACTCTAGATGAGGTTCATTACTGTTTCAGCTCAGGTTTTCCACTCTGACCTTAGCATTGGCTCAAGAGAAGGGAAAAAGGGGAAGCCTGCTTTAGGATTTGGCTGAGGCTGCTGCGAATCCAAGCAGACCTTTGATTAGATATTAGAACTTTGATTTATTATTCTCTCTCTCTTTTTGTTGTTGTTGTTGTTGTTGTTGTTCCTGGGGATTACTTGCTGAAGGGGGTGCCTATGATAGGGCAGGGTTGGGTCTATCTTTTGACCTTTGCTTGGGTGTTGTCCCAGCCAAGTCCCGGTTAAGGTCTACCCGACTTTTCTGGTTGAGTTCCAAAACGTTTTCCAAAGGAAGTAAACTAACCTATCAGGAAATATTACCTCTCACTGTAACCCTCTCCAACCCCATTACAGTGCTCTAAATCTGCCTTCAAACACCTCCCACGCATATTCTGCTTACTTGGGTCTAATTGCTTTGCTTTCCTTTGCAAGAAAATGCAGGTTGTGCTTTAGATAAAGATATGACACCTTATATTTAGCATTAATTGTAACTGTGCTCATCCATACATCTCTCTTACCCATCTTTCCTGTGTAATTTCAGTCCTTAAATAGCCCATCTCATGAGATAGTCTTCGATAAACCTAGCAGTGTTTTGCTTGTGACAAAATGCTACAGGCTCTTGTTATACAACTTTGGGTACTCAGTTCTTAGGGAATAAAATCTCAATGCCTTTCCCCTCACCCCCTCTTTACTTCTTGTTTCTCCCAAGAGCAGTCAACACTGATGTGCAAAATAGGAGTAAGAAGGTGGGGCAATATTAAAAAGAAAGGATCATTCTATGTGTTTTCTGAAGGGGAGAACAGAATCATAGAATGGCTTGGGTTAGAGGGGATCCTCCAAATCAAAATAACATCATTTACCAAAATATCCCTAGTTAACCTTACTGCCTTTTAGCTTCTTCAGTAAAAGTAGCAACTGGTTAAAAATGAGTTTTGCAAATAAAAGAGGCTAGCTCAATGGATGTGGGATACATGACTTTGCAGTATCAAAAAGGAAGAGTAAGTAAATAGGTTGTGCTAAAACACCACTCCTTACCTGTGCTGGCTGGCACCAAAGCAAGAGTTGCAAAGGCTTGGTGCAGATTGCATCTTCCTGATCTGTTATCTTGCAGGCAGCATCAAGAGTTTGTGGGAAGGACATTACACACACAGCCAGCCACAGCCACACTAAGCTTGTCCCAGGCCTGAAATTCCATTTGCAAGGGCTGCCAACCTGGGTTAGGAATGGGTGTGTTAGTCACGTCCTGGTGCTGGCAGAGCTAAAAACTCAGAAACAAGGTGATTTCAGGGTGAAGAGGAAAAAGCGTTTGCCTTCACTGTTCTCCCTCCAGCGAGCTGGAGAGCTGCAGGCAGCGGAGGGTAGGTGTGTCACCTCTGCAGCAGTGACAGGGCTGCAATCTAGACGATGAAGAAATGCTTTCAGATGCTTCCTTTCTGTCATATTACACTGCCTCAGGGAGAAAAACCTAGCTGCTGAATTGGAGAACTGCCGCAACTGAGTCAAGTGCCTCCCACTCAGTCTTTCAGCTGTTGTTTCCATGTGAAAGTAAATAGGTATAGAGTCCTCTGAAGAGAGCAGAAAGGAGCAACTGTGTTTGCGGGCTCATTTCTTGAAGCGAAGTATTTGCTGACTGAGCTTACAGAAAGGCCTGTAGCTGTTTTCCCTGGCTGCTCCCACTTACAGAGCAACACTTTGAGGCAGTTTCCTATAAGAAATCACGCTGACCCAGGCCTCTTGCTTCATCTTTCAACTGCTGCAGAAGCAAAAGCCTATAACTGGTTTCAGTTCAGAACACAGCTGAGCTACAGAGGGGCTTTGGCCAGGTCATCTGTTGTACCTCAGATCCCTATCTGTAAAATGAAGATAATATTGCCGTGTTTCACAGAAATGCTACAAGGAAGAGCTTAAAATCCCCCACAGCCAACCAAACAAAAACCAAACACAACCAACCAACCAGAAAAAAAAAAAAAACAGCAGCATCTCTTACATTTGCTTTGGCTTCTGCAAAGAGGAGGAGGAGCCAGATAGCTGTAAAGTCCCTTCACAAATGAGCTAAGCTCTCTCTGAATAGAAGATCTCGGGAAAGAAAATAGTAGAGAATAAATGGCATAGTGTCTGAACAGGATGCTTAATGCAGTTATAATGATGCAACTCTCGTAGCACAGTGTACTTTGTAGACAACGGAACACAAATAACAGGACCTGAGGGAATGGCATAGAGCTGTCGGGGGGGACAAGGTTGGGTGTTAGGAAAAGGTTCTGTACCAGAGAGTGGTAGGGGATGGAACAGGCTCCCCACAGCCATTGTTGTGACCCCAAGAGTTTGAGAAGCATTTTGACAGTACTCTCAGATGGATTTAGGTTGGTCCTGTGTAGAGCCAGGAGTTGGACTTGGTGGTCCTTGCAGGTCAGCTTGGGATATTCTCTGATTCTATGGGGTAGA